TATCTATCTATCTATCTATCTATCTATCTATCTCTCTCTCTCTCTCTCTCTCTCTCTCTCTCTCTCTCTCCACTCACCACCGACGCCAGTGTCTGTGACAACACCTCCTGCACTGTCCAGCTGTATACACTCCATGATGTCATCCAACAGGTTGCCAGACGATGACGTAGAGCCTTCGTCACTGTTGTCCAAAGCGGCAGTGACGTCACAATTGCTACTGTCCATGGCGGCGATGACGTCACCACAACTACTGTCCATGGAGGCCGCGATGACGTCAGTTCCGGGCGACAGGGGCATTGTGGGACTGAGGGTCTGGGTGAGGTATTCCTCGTAGCTGGGCGGTTGGCGGGTGGCTAGCGGGCCGCTGTTGCCGTGAGGGGAGATGATCCCCTCCTTTTGATTCTGCTGTGGGCAGGACGTGGGACCGACGCGCAGAGGAGGGAGTTGGCGGGGTCTGGAACTCGGACCTTCAGTCACAAGATACTCGCCTTTACGGGCGCTCGGCCCGACGGCCAGTCCGTTATACAGACAATTGTTCGATGACGTCACACTCTCGCGTTGACCTCCTCTCAGCCCACCACAGCCACCTCCTCCTCCTCCTCCTCCTCCTCCTCGCCTCCACTCCGACATCACCGGTATTCCCACCATGCCCCCTTCTGTAGGACTACTCCCCCCAAAACCTCTCCGACCATCAAGGAACACACGCCTAGCCGCCCCATCATCCTCCAACTCCGCGCCACCGCTGCGGCCGCTCACAGAAGACGTCATGTACGACGACGGAAACGGTCCCTTCACCGGTTGGGCGCTTTCCACGGGGTCAAAGGTCGAGTCAAGGTCAAGGTCGAAGCTGCTGCCATCGGAACCCCCCTGTAGCATGGCCAGGAACTCTCCGCACTGGGAAGGCACTGTTTGGTCCAACTCCAAATCAAAGATGGCGTCTGCTGCATACATGGTCCGACCACCAGGCGGGTGACAGCGCGCTGTGCGGCAAGATCGGCCAGCTTTTTGTCTGCTGGAAAAGAAATAGAAAATGAATGAATGAATAAATAAATAAATAAACAAATAAATAAATAAAGGAATAAATGAATGAAATGAGGGGAGGAATAAGTAAATGATAAATCAGAATAAATTAATAAACGAATAAATGAATAAATAAATGAGTGGACGAAAAAAGGAATGAATATATAAATAATGGAGATTTGTTACGCTCCAAAAGGACACAACTCAGATCATTTCGACCTTCTCACTACATGTATAGTGTACGACTCTTTGAAAAGTGACTTCTGACAGAGTCGTACACTGAGCAGCGGACTGAACTCGCGGGCTGCCTCGACCTCTGGCAATCTGGGCATAGAAGGACGACACAACGTCCCAGCAGACAGACGGAGATACTTCTCCCCACACGGGAATCAAACTTAGGTCTTCTGTGAACAACAGTGAAGCGCCCAACCGCTACACCACAAACGCCAGAAGAAGAAGAAGAAGAAGAAGAAGAAGAAGAAGAAGAAGAAGAAGAAGAAGAAGAAGAAGAAGACGTGATGATGCAAATTATCTGAAAGACTTTCATGGCGAATTACCAATGCTTGATTATATAGATCAAAGACTCTTTTATCCCCTTAAAGATTTGTTCACAGTCATACGATTTTCATCTCTTTCTAGACAGTAGACCTTCTCCTTCTCTCCTTCTCTCCTCTCATCATCATCATCC